CTCTCTCTCTCTCTCTCTCTCTCTCTCTCTCTCTCTCTCTCTCTCTCCTGTTCTTTCCGCCTGACTTGGATTGCATGGTTTTCTCAGACCTTAGTTTGATTGGTAAGACCCCATCCACTCGATCCATCCTTCTCCTGTCAGTCATGTGACATGTGCTGTGTGTTTGTGGTAGTTTCTTGTACTGTGTAACGTACAGTGCTAAATATCTCACGAGGAGATATTTCACGTCCTTTGTAGTGCCTTGTTGTATTTTAAGTAAGAATTATTTAAAGTGCTATATCTTAATCTGTAGTGCTTGTGTGTTCACTGCTTTAGCTTGTTGTGAATCTGTTCTTTATGTAATAAAACTCTTTCATCATCAACTCTGTTAAGGAATGGGCCGGGAAGTTGAAAATCTCATTCAGGAGAATTCACAGCTGCTTGAGACAAAGTAAGTACACAATTAAATGTTTTTTTGTGTCTTGACTTTGAAATGTGATATCTTCTTAATCTCCCTGTTAAAATGTGCCGGCAGTATTTTACAAGTGGACTAAAATGCCATTGTTCCCGCCTGTGCAGGAATGCTCTGAACGTGGTGAACAAAGACTTGATATTGAAGGTGGACGAGTTGACCTGTGAGAAGGAGATGTTAGATGGAGAGATGGAGGCTGTGCTGCAGGCCAAGACCAAGCTGGAGGACAAGAACAAAGAGATGGAGGAGGAGCTCAAAAAGTAGGTCAACTACTGTGCTTGTTGTAATAAAGATAGATAACAACAGAACATAGCGACATGCTTTGATTTAATTACATTTTATATCCTTGCGAGTGTAATAAATGGTCTTTTTCAGAGTGCGACTGGAGATGGAGGAAGTGAAACACAAAACTAAAGAGGAGGAAGATGTGAGTATTCTTCACTTGTACAACAATGTCTGAAACTGCAGACCTACTGTGTGTATAATATATACAGAAACAGTATGTTTGATGTGGCTGTTCTGTGTGGTCATGTGTGGGTTTACTTGTGTGCTACCACAGAGTGATGTACCTACAGCCCAGAGGAAGCGCTTCACCAGAGTGGAAATGGCCAGAGTGCTGATGGAAAGGAACCAGTACAAAGAGAGACTGATGGAGCTACAAGAAGCTGTGCGGTGGACGGAGATGATCAGGTACAGAACACCTGGCTGCAAATCAACACTTGTGCATAACTACTTTTTTGTAAGCATTTTTCAGTTTTAGTGTTTCACACACAAAATGGATGAATACAATAATGACATATCAGCCAAAAAACGTAAAAGACAGTTGGACATCCTCAAACTGTGTGTCTCCAAACTGTCAACAGGTAACGTGATATCATCTTGTCCTCTTCTTTAGGGCCTCGAGAGAAAATCCAGCACTCGCAGAAAAAAGGAAATCCAGCATCTGGCAGTTGTAAGTCCTCCCAAGTATATTTTGTTTTTTTAAACTATCTTTGTCAGGGCATTGATTTTGACAGCCTATAGAGGTGAACTGCTGTGACATTTTCTCTCAACATTCCAAACACATTTTTCTCTTTTCTCGGGATGTGCAATTGAATTGGCAGCATTAGGTAAAGATGGTTTAATAAACATTCCTCCAGTCAAACCTCTCTTTTTCCCTCCATTGACACAGAACTGCTCCTCCATTACAAATGGATTCAACTCTGATGTGTCTTTATCCATAATGTTTTCTCTCCGAGCAGTGCATCAGTTGTCTTTATCACAAACTGCTCAGACATGACTCTCCTTGTGCCCCCGGGCTTTCCTGTCTCCTGCCTGCTGTGTGCGTTGGTTGATGTTTTCCGACTCTGTCTGCTCATAGGGAGCTTAAGAGCGACAGAGTTCCCCCTGCAGCCTAAATACGTGTACATGTCTGTCTTAAGTCAGGTCGTACCGTCAGATGCTTTTTTTTGTAAGGGATTTTTAACAGATTTAGCAGATGCTTTCTCCTTGTTTAATCTGGCTAATTTGAGTAGACCTAAAAAAATATTGACTGAAAATGTTAAGCAGTAAGCTAAAACCTCACGTGTTCAGCACAAGTAGTCGCACATAAATCAGTGGAGACACGTTCAGGTTTCAGTCATTCACATTCAGTCTGTTATGATTTGGATGAAATGTGTTTATGTATTGAATGGAAAGTTTTCTACTTTGTATAGTTAATATGGAAACGATGATTTGAACATCAATTAGACATTAATATTATTTTCTTGCTTTTTTAGAAATGTGATGTTTTTATCTTTTTATTCAGACTTTTTCCTACACATTCAAAATGGTTGGATTATACTGAAGTATAGACTGATCTCACTTGACACTTAAGATAGTGTTGATACTTGGTGCTTCACAGTCAAATGGGATAGGAAATGCTCAGCTATTCACGACTCCCAGCATGCTCTGCGTCACTGTTCAGTAAATGTTGGTGCCCTTGGTTGGTGACCCCCTACCTTGCTTTTCCCCTGCTCTCCTGTCGGCTCTGTTTCCCTCTTGGCTTTCTGTAACTTTGCCACATGCAGCTTCAGCAGACTGTTTAGCTCCTCCACCAGTTCCCCAGCTATAAAGAAGGTGGAGTCCCAGTCCAACATCAAATACAACGCCCCGGGCAGCATGGTCAAGAGGAGCAGCACCTTCTCCCAGTTCCCAACAGAGAAGTCAAAGACGTTTGACTTCCTTAATGAAGAGTGAGTAACAGAGTCAATGACTGTGAGTTTGGTGTATTTTATTAAGGGGGACATGTTCACACAAACCCCAAACCCTTAAACATAACTGGACATTTAATTATTATATTTTTATCATTAGACATTTTTTTTTCTAAAGCAGTTCAAGCTATTTGGGTTTGATCTCCATCACGACTCATTCCAAAAATATTTGTAGGAATATCATTTTCACCGAATGGCCCGCAGTAATGTACATGTATACAATGTACCTGTAAGCTGATGACATGTCTCTCTCTTTGCTCTTCTTGTAGAAAGGACCAGTGCAGCTCGCCATCGCGTAAAGAGCAGAAGAGAGCCCAGTACAGGCAGGTCAAGGCCCACATGCAGAAGGAGGATGGACGAGTCACTGCACACGGCTGGAGCCTGCCCAGCAAATACAAGGTAGGAAATTAAGGTTAGATTAGGACTCAAGTAACAGAGAATATGGCTTTTTCTCACTTGATAATGATCAAGACTGTCAGTTTTGACCATGAGATTATGTGACGGTACCAGTGACACGAAAAGTAACATTGTAAATGTTTATGTGCAGTGTCATTTACTCATAGAGCATAGCTGTCATTTCTTTCTGCTGGGCCTTTATAAGCTCTATGTTCATGTTCCTGTCAGAAAGTCATTTATTTTCTCAATGTGAGTCCGCCCTCAGACAAGATTTAGACAACTGCAACCCCCCTAAATATAAACCACCCCTTCATAACAGAAAGTGACTCATAACTCTTGATATCAGGAAGTGTGAGTCATGCTAAATCTAAAAACATGTGTATGATGTAAGGGTATTCAAATTTGAGTTATTTGAATATTCTCCCCTCCGGCTTTACAGCTTGAAGACCCCCCGACATAATCTACAATGAAACATACGAGAGCTATTCTGTCCACACAACAGACAAAAGAAACAAAGGGTTAATCTCAACCTAGTATCTGTAAGATTTTCCGCAATGTCTGATTTCAAATTGGTATCAGCCTTCCGTAAAACGTTCACAGCTCAAAGACATTTCCTGGAGACCATATCACTACTACAGATGGTAACCGTGTGCAGAATGTTACAGAGACTTCAAGCTGTGTTGACTATGTTGCCTTTTTGTCTACATTTGGGTGAAAATCTGTTGTAAAAGCGTGTTTCCTTTGCATGTGCCGGCGATGCCCCGACAGGTGGCAAATGGTGAACAAGTGGAGAACAAAATGAACCTACCTGTACCAGTATACTTGAGACCTCTGGATCAGAAAGATGCTTCTATGAAGGTACATAAGCCAATACCGAGATAACACTTGGATATAAGCGGCATACTGTGTTTTTTAATACTAAAGAAAATCTGATATTTATCATGTCTTCTCTCTCTGTCCCCCAGCTGTGGTGTGCTGCAGAGGTCAACCTATCTGGCAAAAAGACATTACCAGAGCTCATGAAACAGACGAAGGGTTCTCAGAGTAGTCTGGACCAGTTAGAGCAAGAGAGTAAGGTAAGCTGAGATATTTAAGGAAGAGGTGTTGCTCTTTGTAAATCCAGTGAGTTCAGAAAGTTCTTTAAACTATGGTTTAGATTCTGTGGAGGCTGTTTGCTGATTTAGTGTCCCCCCCGCAAGGATCAGGAGAAAGGGGAGAAGGAGCTGGTCCTTCAGGATCAGTTCTCCAGTAGGGTGTGGGTGTGCACCAGCACCCACTCCTCCACCAAGGTTATGGTGCTGGACGCTATTCAGCCCTCTGACTTACTCGACAGCTTCTACGCCTGCAACACTCACGTTGTCTGCATTGCCAGCGTGCCAGGTAGGCTGAGTGGTCACATTGGTTGTTTGTGTGGGTTGGATGAGTGGTTTTCTTTGTCCTCCTCATCCATGACTGCATCAATTATTTTCTTTTTCTTTCATTTGTGTTGTCTTTTTAACAGGTGTGTTGGAGACTGATTATTCGGCAGGTGAAGAGGTACCACAAGACCCGGAGGCTAGCCAAGGTGACGGGGTGTCACTGGCCGGCAGTGTGGCCAGTGTGGGCTCAACGGGCAGCGATGGTGCCATGGCAGCAGAGGGGACCACCGCCATTCCCCAGACAGCCATTGCAGGTGTCACCGATCAGCCGCCTGAGCACAGTGGCATCTCTAGCTCAGGTGCAGTAGATTTCTGCTGACAAAATGCTTTGACATTGTCTGTCCTTTTTTTGTTTTACTGCTAGCATCAAACACAACGGTGGCCAATAGCTACAACTCCACCAGGAGGCTTCATCTTTGTCATACAGGTTATCCACCCAAACCTTCCCGTATCACTCTTTTACCCTCTGATCAACCCTGTGATCCACAATGCCCACAGTTGAGCTGTCCAGAGAGACCAGTCCAGCAGAAGACAACGTTCCTACGGCGGAAGAGGCAACGGAAGCAACGGAGGCTAACGCTGGCGTGGGCGAAGAAGGAGAGGAGGACCAGGGAGCGGATCCAAACCCGCCAGGAATCTACACGGAGCATGTGTTCACCGACCCACTGGGGGTGGGACCCACTGACTCCCCTTCTGCTCATGCACAGAGGTGAGCAATGATGTTCTAGACTATCTCTTCTATAACTGTTTGGTTTTAGTAAATACTAATATATGCAGAGGTAAGATTGCTTTTCTTATAAAAGGTTTTTCAAATTGCAAATTGCAAATCGCAATGATTATTTTTTAGATGAGTATAAAAGTAATGTTCTGCCCGATGCAAAAGTCCACCATTTATTAGAAAGAGGCTAAAACTCCCCTTTTGATTTGACTTTCATTATTCTACAGCAAAAACACGTCAAAAAAATAAAATTAGCAACAGTAGTTTACGATCAAATGGCCTTTTGAAGTCAATAGTTTCACATCGTCTCTTTTTTTTTTTTTTTTCAACCCTCTAAAAATAGCCGATGTGCCTGAACCATACAAACCGTGTAAACTACTATTGTACTACTATCAACTATTATACACAAGAAACAAGTATATAGTGTTTCCTCCCCTGGTAGACATTACATTTTAATTAAACAAGGATAGGATATTTAGCTTATATAGGAAATGTTAAGAACAACCCTGGAAACATTGATATATCCATGATATTTAAAGAAGTCTGAACTTGTCACAAGTGTTCCAGTTTTCTTAAGAAGAGTGCATTAGAAAAATGTGAATTTTCTACCTTCTGTGATCCAGGGGCTGCGGACATGATGGCGAGACTTCCTTTCCAGACGACTCGGACCCATCCGATGGGGAAGTCCTGAGGATGAGCAGCGCACTTCCCACCATGTGGCTGGGAGCTCAGAATGGATGGTGAGCAGGACAACAGCCACTAGAGGGCAGCAGCAACATACAAGGGCTGACACACACTCAACACCTACAATGTGTTTATTGCATCACTGAAGATCAAGTCTGTTTTTATCCAATGATGGTTCTTTTATTGTGAGCAAATGTATTCTTCATCTCTCTGTCTCTCCCTCTCAAGTCTTTATGTGCACTCGTCTGTGGCTCGATGGAGGAAGTGTCTTCATGCCATCAAGCTGAAAGACTCCATCCTCAGCATAGTGTGAGTACAAAGTCAGTTGTACCTCAAATACAGATTTATACCCACAGGAAAAAATGTGTAAAAAGAGCGTGTTTATGTGTTGTTACAGGCACGTTAAAGGGAGAGTCCTGGTAGCTTTGGCTGATGGGACATTAGCAATTTTTCACAGAGGCATTGGTGAGTCTGGGTTAGAGCTCATCGTGGTAAGACACTTTGTGGTTTAGACGTGCAGAATTCAGAAACATTTCAGTGCTTGGTATGCATCTAAATCCACCGCACTGTCACTATTATTTTAACCATATTTTTTGTTTTTGTTTTATCAATTTACTAGGAAGCTCAAAATATTAGAAGCTGTTTAATATTTTGTATCGTGTTTGTACTGTTGGATGCCAATCTACAAAGATCATAGATTATCTTGCATTTTTTGTTTCTCCCATGCAGACAGTCAGTGGGATTTAACCAACTATCACCTGTTGGATCTGGGCCGGCCTCACCACTCTATCCGCTGTATGACAGTAGTCCATGACAAGGTGTGGTGCGGTTACAGAAACAAGATCTATGTCATCCAGCCGAAGGCCATGAGGATAGAGGTACAGCTGTGATCATAATTAATAAATGTTTTCCAAACAAGCAACATATTGCATAACCTGTCTTATGGTAACATTTGAAAATCCTACATTTAACGTTTCTATAATATTCTAACGTCGCATCATCTCGTTCTCTCATGTCTGAGCAGAAGTCGTTTGATGCTCATCCTCGCCGGGAGAGTCAAGTGCGGCAGCTGGCCTGGGTTGGAGACGGTATCTGGGTGTCCATCCGACTGGATTCAACTCTACGCTTGTTTCACGCCCACACCTACCAGCACCTCCAGGACGTGGACATCGAGCCCTACGTCAGCAAGATGTTGGGTACGCATACCAACTAGCCATTTCTCTCTTCTCTGACTTTCATCTCATCAGACCATGGGCTTTTTTTGAAACGGTAAACAAGTGTGTGTTCTGTGTGTGTTGCAGGTACGGGTAAACTGGGCTTCTCCTTTGTGAGAATCACAGCTCTGGTGGTGTCCTGCAGCCGCCTCTGGGTAGGGACAGGAAACGGGGTCATCATCTCCATCCCGCTCTCTGAAGGTATCACGCACCTCAGGTTTACCCCATACAACAGACTTTGTATTAAAACATTTGTTTTCATAAGGCTATAGCACAGCATAAATGTTAAACGGATACAATATGTGAGCTTTAGAGGCGTCAGTAGGTGGATTTTGTTGTCTGTGGACAGAGACTGTGAGTCTGTTTCCTTTGTGCTAAGCTAACTGGCTGCTGGTGGTATCTTCATGTGTACCGTACAGAGATGAAAGTGGTATCAATCATCAAGCTCTTAACAAAAAAAAGAAAATAAGCAAATTTCCCAAAACTATTCATTTAAGATAAAAGCTCACTTTGGCATATGTTTAACCGAACCTTTTGAACCTGTCTTTAAATCATGGCTGCCATGCATCTCCCTCCTCACTGTGTATCTGTGTTAGATATTTCTCTCACGTCGTCGTTACCACTCAGGAGATACTTGTTGAATAAAATATAACCGGGTTGCCATGGACACAGGTCTTATGGTCACCTTGTAACGCACGACACTGCTTGTGTAATATAACAACTTTTTTTTTTTTATCATGTAAGCTCTATATTCTTCCTTTTCCTTTTTTCCTCTTCTGTGCAGTTCACGCTCCTTTATTTCTGCTCTTCTCATAGAGTGTTTAGGAGCTTGCTCCTCTTTTTGTTTAACCTCTAGCTTCCCTCCAACATCCTCTCTTTTTGCTTGGTTGTCTCACTTTATTTATGTTTTTAAAAACAATGAGATCAAACAGACATGAACCCACGGACAGCTCTGCTGTCTGTGTGAGTGATGGTGTGTGTGTGCTTCAGTGAGCCGTTAACACTAATGACTTTTCAACCTTTTGCCAGAGACTGAGATTTGATTGTTTCACCCCAGATCTCACCTTTTTGTCTTTTGCGCAGCCGCCTTCACCCACCGCTGACCTTCTGGTGCAAAACCTAGATAATATGCACCATGCGACATCGGTAGCGTTTATACATTTTCTTCTTACTCTGCAGCCAACAAGACAACGGGAATAGTGCCAAATCGGCCCGGCAGTGCTGTACGGGTTTACGGTGATGACGGTTCAGACTGTGCCATGCAAGGCCGCTTTGTGCCCTACTGCTCCATGGCCCACGCCCAGCTGTGTTTCCATGGACATCGAGATGCTGTCAAGTTTTTTGTCACAGTACCAGGTAAGTTGCAAGTGTTGAAAAAAAAAAAGCCAGAAATGATGACAAGTGCTGCAAATTGTTAGTTGCTCCGAGCATCTATGCATCTTTATTATGTACAATTTTAAATAAATGTCAACAATGTTGAATAATAGTCAACAGAGAATATATTGATGAAAGCTTTGACAATCATTCCTTAAGTCAGTTATGAAGTAAAAATAGCAATTGCTTCCTGATGACAGCTTTTTGGGCTTTTTTGTCACAGGTCAGGCGATGCCTCCTCCAGGCAGTGCAGATTCAGGCTCCGATGACCCTCCATCTGAATCCTCTGACACGGCAGCCTCTGAGTCTAAAACATGCCTGGTCATGAGTGGAGGCGAAGGCTACATTGACTTCCGAATGGGTGAGTATGTCACACCACTGACAAGACACAGATGTAGTTCAAAGTGCATTGACTTAGGTGGAGCCAACGAGTAGCTTTCTATTTTCCCCTTCGTGAAATGTAAAATACAAAAGACTGCATTTGAATCCACATAAAAGTAATGCAGCTGTTTACTGTACGGTCTCTCTTATAGGGACAATGTGTAGCATTCAGGATCTATTGGTACAAATATGAATAATTAATGATGTTCTCTTTAGTGTGTATTGACCTGAAAATAAGAATCATTGTGTTTTTGTTACTTTTAAAATGAGCCGTTAGTATCTACATACGCAGCAGGTTCTCGTCACAGAGTCCACCATGTTGCAATACACTGTTTCTACAGTAGCCCAGAACGGACAAATCACGCACTGGCTCCAGATAGGGCCATTCACGTTTTCGCCACCGTAGTTCTCTTACAGGCTTAGCACACGGAGAAGTTTAAGTTGGTTGCAATCTGCAGCCTCAGCGATGCCTGTAGATGCAGCCAAATCCTACACACTGGTACAAAGGCCCAATGTCTTCCCTGTGACCCACCTGGTATGCTGTTTGTTTGACTCATCGTCCTCCTCCTCAGGTGATGAAGGCGGCGAGTTGGACAGTTTATCAGAGTCAACAGCCAGCCAGCAGTCCCCACCCACCAAGGCCGAGCAGAGCCACCTCATTGTCTGGCAGGTCACAGCCTCCCATGATTGAACAAAACAAATCAGACTGTTGTGTCAACGCCAAGGTCTGCATGTCCTTCTCAAAGTTTTTAATTTGATATTATTGATTCTTCTTAATGCCTGAGTAGTTGACTACTTTGCAAAAGAAAACAATTATTTTTAGTCCATGTTTTGTACAGTTTATTCTTTAGGAATATGAATTTGAATTAGATAAGGTGAAGTTTATGTTTAACTTTAAGAATCCGTCCAAGTGTTCCCTTCTGCTGGGTTTGAGAGCCGGTGCGCACTAGAAAAAGGCCTCGTTAACTCAACTGAAGTTGTGGGCATAGTTTGATCAGGTAAAGTATGGAAGTCGGTCTCCCAAATGTTAAAGAGATGTGAAAGATAAAAACGGGAAAAGCGCTTAAAGCAGTTTGACAGTCATTGAAAAGGAGCAGAAGTATATTTTATATGACACACATAAGACTTTTACATTTGTAAACCACATGTATGTATGTGTGTGTGTGTGTGTGTGTGTGTGTGTGTGTGTGTGAACATCAGGTGTGTGTGTATGCATTCACTGAGCATTTTTAGGGCTGGGTGTCAAAATATGTTACCTACAAGTCAAAATGTATTCAAAATTTCAAAAGGTTAAATTGATTGAGTGTGTTGACAGAGGCTAATTACTCTACTGTATGGTCTGATTATTAGAGAAGCTGCTTGCACGTACCAGTGTTTTATTAAATGTGCTTTTATTCATCAAAAGTTGTAGGATAAAACACTTTGAGAGGTTGTATTAATATTGAATGACACCGAGCCCTATTTGCCACAGGTTTATGTTTTATGACATGAATAAATGTCCAAGCAGTTTGGGTCCTGCTACTGATCAGAAGAACCGGCCTACTGTACTTCAGGTTAGCATTAGCCTGCGTGGGGAAAGCCCGTATCCTCGTCCAAGTGTGTGTGTGTGTGTGTGTGTCTGCACGGACGTTTTAAAGCTAAACCGTCGACTGTCGTGTGAAGAAAATCTGCCTGTGCCACCAGCTTGGTGCTTCTTGTTTGCTTCAGCTCATTGGCACTTTAAAATGTTAGATGTTAGTCGCTTGAGGTTTGGAAGAACACCCGTGGTAATGTACACTACAACACTGTGCGCTCGCCTTATGAAGGGAACAAAATGTACAAATATCTGTAGCGATGCGTCACCCCAGTAACCAAAGGACGAAAGAAGAAGCACCGTGAAACTGACTATTTCATTATTTTCATCTTTTCCGACATAAAACGTTGTGTCAGTCTAATAATTTGAGGGTATACATGTGTATATTCAGGGCTTGAATAAGGAAATCCGACTAAAAAAATATCATTTTTGTGTGTGGCACCTACTAATGGTCATGCACTAAAGGGAGTCTCTCCTGATTGCTTCATCATTCCTTCTTTTGTTGTTACAAATATATTTTGAGGCCTGGAAGCCAATTATTGTCATTTTATTTGGTTATTTTGGGCGTTGCTTGTGTTTTGAATTCATGTGTGAGACTTTTATTCAGTATTTCCATGATGACTGTAACAGATAGCAGGATACCAACATTAAGCAGGTGTTTCAATTTGTTTTTATATCTGAAAAGTTGGGCCAAGATTGGTCTTCAATCCATTTAAAAATAGTAATTTCTATTTTGTTTTTGCCATTCCAGTATTTATTTCCTTTGTTAACGAGCCTATCGGGGTTCAGAATGTAACGTTCTACATGAACAAAATAAATTGGGAGGCCATTGTAAACAAAATAGTCCAATGAGTTTACGTGATTGTTAATGATGGTCAAATAAAAGAAATCAATGTAATCATGTCGGACATTTTTGATCAACCATGAAATCAAAGTGTGCAAACAATAACTTGATGGTTTCAGAACAACACATTCATGTACTAAGCTATGCATGTTTTTTTTTGTTTTTTTTAAAAAGGACACTGCTATGTTTTCAGCTAAATCAGATTATTGCCACCGTTTTGGGTGGGGTGGATGTCTATCCGTGTGTTTGTGTGTACAGTACATGTGTAGGAGCTCGAACGCAAGACATTTGTCCGTGTGTGTTTGATTTTTGGAAATTTGTGGTGTATGTTTGCTCACTGTATGTTCATCTGTAACACTTCAGAGACTGGTCAGATTTACCTGTTGCACCGGGCTTCTCTGGACGTGGTTCCTCCTGGTCAATGTTTGCTAAAACAGCATCATAGCCTTATTTTTAACAATCTATTAAACTCAATTTCATGGACACGTTTCCGCTATTGTGTGTCTGATTGTTATAAAATGTTATTTTCCCACTGAAAGATGTGGCAAAGTGTGTTTAAGACCCTGAAAGCCTATTTTTCCTCAATCAGCTTGTTGCTGTGAGTAATGGGCTCCTACATGAACAGAATTGTTCTGACAAAGTGTTCTTTCAGTGCTTTTTTTCACAGGTTTTAAGTGGACGGGGTTCCATTTGGAAAAGATGATGTCATCTTCTGTGCACCAATCACAGAGTTTGGCAACTTTTGAATCTGAATGAAGCCAATTTACCGAGTATTCAACTTTTAATGACTACAATTTAAAGATGATTTTGCAACTTTGGTTGTTGCTTATTTATTCAGGAATATTTAATATTATAAAGAATAATTGAGGAGTTGACGCCAAGTTTTCAGGGCCTTTTTAATTGACAAATAACACAATCCTGCAATACACTGGTGACATGTTATCATGATTGAAGTTGAGCATGCTTTCTTCACTACGTCCTCTGTAGCGGCATGCATATGTCACTTTACCGTGTGTCCCATGTGCTTGTCTGTAGAATTGTTTCTATGCTGCACATTACTTACTGCATTTATTAAGATGGTCAAATGACATATACTCAGTTTAGATTTTAAGATATTCAAGTTACTCAACCAAAGACTGACATTTTTATGCTCACTATTTTAAAGCATAGATAATTTAATCATATAACCACCAGATGGTGCTGTATGTCTATTTTCCAAAATAGGCGGCAGTGTCCTCTCAGTCCCAAGATGGTCACATTGAAATATGATTTTTTTTTTTAGGCCTTTGTGTAATGACAGAGGCTTCATTGAAGACCAAGCTTTAATAATGTGTGCTTTATTCCATCATTCTTTTAACAGCTCATGGGAACTCTGCATGTTGACTTTTTATAGGTTACACAACAGCCAAAGGATTATGAAAAAACTGTGAGTCGCCTTGACATGTTTAAATTATATCCTGGAGCTCCCGTATGGAATATGTAATTTGCTCAAAGAACAAATGCTTGTTGATGCTCAAGATGAGAAAACGCTCATCTTGAGCATCAATAATTTAAGATGGCAGCACAAACATATTTTACAGTCAGATACAGTTTTATTATTATCTCCGCCAGCAGATAATGAGATGTTTGTGTGGGCGCATCTCTGTGTCTGTCCACGGCCACTCTTTCATTCTGCTGCAACAAACTGCATCATAATTTTGATTGCTCATTTTTGGCTGCATGCTCAAGGCCCTCATGTGGTTGCAGTGACTCAAGTTTCCAAAACACCTTTCATTGTCTGTTTGATATACTGTATTTGACTGCCTGCTGACTCCCTACTCACTATTCTTAACCAGCCCACAGCTGGCCGCAAGTGATTTCACAGCTGAGTGCATCGTCGCTGCTCTGCTGCCAGGGACACAGTGTGGAAAATAGTTTGCTCACTTGTTTGACTATCAACTAAGGGCTAATGGAACTACACACACACAGCTGAGTGCATCGACGCCGGTCTGCCTCTGCTCTGACGCTACTCTGACACTGTTCTACGGCAAGAGACGGTTATTCCTAGCTTTTTATTGGCCATCACCCTCATGTTTACATGCGTATTGTCAAAAAAATAGAGTGGATGGTGTTGAGACACAGAGCTGGTGCAGACATCTGCATAGATTTAAATGAGAGCGCATCTGTTGTTTGAGAGTGAAAAACACGTCTGATACACTTGCAGTCTAGATGAGGGGTTAGCAAACTGGTGGATGTATTCATTCAATCACACGATACAGCAGTGGTCATTGCAGACCCGGAAATCTGCACTCTACTGGGTTTACCCTTCTGTGTTTGTGCTCAGTTCATTGGGTCTTTTCCTTGGCCAGTAGGAGGCTGTGCTGCTCAATGCTTCTGCAGGATGCAGCATCACCACACATAACCGTTTCCATGACATTACATCACAGCGTAAAGCCCACCTCAGTCTCTCTCTTTGTCCCTCCATCCCACCTCGGCCTCTCTCCTCCTCCTCGTAAGCCATGCGGGGGCTGACAGCGAGCCCCGCACAGGCATACAAAGAGCTCTCTGACGTCACAGAGTGTGTTGTAGCCCAGACGGGGGATTCTTCAGACTGTAACATGCCAGGATTGTGTTGCATCACAGCTGGGATGCTGCAAAGAAGAACTGATTCCAACTTCCTGTCAGAGCTGTTTCCAATGAATAGGAATGGGGACAAAAAGTAATTTCAGTAGTGTCACTTACAGATTGCAGCTAAAAGCAACACTAAAGAGGTTGGTGTTAAACAGGACTTTCTAGGCCTTAGCTGACGTCAAAGTCATCTGATTAATTTGTTTAGTAGACAAACGTAATGAAGCAGAGGGATTTCAACTCTGACCTTATCTTCAACTAGCAGGGATTGACAGAGAGAAAAGGGGGGTTTAGGTTGCTGTGTTGTGCTCACTTGGCTCACCGTTTAGTATAGAGCTTCACTCGTATACAGATGACATTAAAAGAAACCCAATAGGCCCCAATAGATGCAGGCAGGGTTCAACTGTTGCATACCACACTCCCTGGTGCCTTCTCTGTTTCATGAAAGTCAATCCCCCGTTAAAGGTCAAATTTTATGAAGTGCTTTTTAGTTATTGTGATTACAGAAAATCTATTCTTCACTAAACGCTATAGCCCCTTTTTGCTTGTTTGCTTAGTTTGATGAAACGTGCTGGTGTTTTTTGACATGCTGGTGTCTCAGCTTGGGGCACAGCAGTGACATGCAACACAGGCTGCTAGATCAATAGTATTATCCCTCTGGGACCTCAGGCCAGAGAGGAACTTCAGAGAAGGGAAGACAGGGGTAGAGTCTTTTCAGTGGAAGAGAACAAGACATTTTCTCTTCCGTATAACAGCTTCATAACATGTTACGAAATGCATTCCCATGGAAGCTTCCGTTAGCTGACGTTTATAGATCGTTGCAATGCATTCAAGGATGCCTGTGGTATGTTGTGATACATCTCTTGGCTTTTTATCTGGTGGTGAAGGGGACTGGATGAAGGAAGGTGAGAAATCCAAGAGAGGGAGAGAAGGGAGGAAGTCAACAGAGTTGGGGGGAAAAGAGGAGAGGCCCACCACATGACACTGGGGTGGAAAATATGGCAGGTGTGAGGAGAGAGGTGAAGAGATGCATCTGCTACATATTAACAGGGTCCCCCCCTGCAGGTAGTGCAGCTGAAAGGCTTGGTAAACAAGAACAGAGGTATGTGTCTGAATGAGTCTCATGAACACTTTTTGTATGTGTGGGAGTTTTATATTTTTATGCTTTAGTCCCCAGATTCCAAAGCATGATTCTCAATGGAGGCCTGTGGAGAGAGATCATACAAGTACAAATATTTGATCATCAGCAGTCAGTGCTTTGGAGTTTCTATCACCTCTGCAAACACAGTGCTGAATGAATGACGTATTTTTGCAGGCCAACCTCGAAAGTTAGCATCGCACTGGTTCCCTCGACAAAAAGTCAATGGGATTTTGAAACAACCCATAAACCTATAGGGCTCATTTTCTGCAAATAAGTCACATTAATGTTCCACCAACAGAGCAAAACTTTTTTTAATCCAGCAAACCAGGCAATGAACACCTTTAAAATGTAGAGAAAAGTTTAAAATGGCTGCTAACTAATTCTCATAATGAACCACAATGTCATGAACACTATAGATATCTGTTTTACTGTAGAAGAGTCCAGAAGAGCAGTCCATGTGCTTGCTTTTTCACACACTATTATAAATTGTGCACATACAGTATGCACCTCTGTCTTTCCTTCCTGTGTGTGTGTGTGTGTGTGTGTGTGTGTGTGTGTGTGTGTGTGTGTGTGGCTGTGTGCCTATGATGGCATGTGATTTAAAAGCCTCCTTCGGCCCTGGTGAGAGCGCCCTTGGCCTCCCATGGAAGTGCGCAGTATTTTACGGTGATAGGCTGGGCTAAGCGTTTTGTGAGCCAGTACAGCAAAGCAACACAGCGTTCTTAGAGCAGCACACTGTGCACACCATCAACACCAGCCTGCAGATGAGGCCTCATCACAGCTGAAATCTCCTTAGCTGAAAAATATAAGTAGACAGGCATAATGGGGTGGCTGTTGGGGTGTGTGTGTGTGTGTGTGTGTGTGTGTGTGTGTGTGTGTGTGTGTG